TGACTATAAATGTATACAAATAATGCAAATCGTCTATATATTCAAATATGGCAACTTTTCTAACTTTGGGAAACATTTCCACAGCATATAGAGATAAATAAACCCACAGTGAAGCATATAATATTCCAGTGATCAGAAGGCATGAAATCCCAAAACACGTTGACAGTTCGACACATGGAACCATCAGAAAAGCCCATTAATCCTCATAGATTCTGCATGAATCGTCAGTATTTACAGACTGGCTGACCCCCGAGTTACATCATTAGACTAAATCTCTGCGGTTAATGGACTTTCCTCATGCACCTCGTGTCTCTTATGTAACGAGCTTCAGTGCATGCTGGGAGTTGTATTCTTTTTAAATCATTAACATTATGCAGAGGAAGTAAACACTAGCAAGGTTCACCCTTGATATAAATTTTACGCGTAAAAGTTCACTTATTTGTTATTCACATTTATTTATTCCACTGAAAACAGGACGGCAATAAAGGAACACTGACAGGGAATCTACAGCTGATTTTGATTTGTGATTATGCTGTACTTTCTATGTAGCAATACGTTTTATTGGTTTTATTATTAAACCTCACACAGAACACCATGTCCTGCAGTCTCTTCCTGAGACATTCTCACTTTTAGGTTGACACTGTCAGAAAGATTTTGTCATCAAAACAGATTTTCTTTCTGCAGGTGTTTTTTTTGGAATATTGCTCATACAGACCGCTGATAACGCGGCTCTGACTTCTTGCTCTTTGTAAGTCGAGTGCGAAGGACAAAGGCCTGCAGAGTGCAGGTGAATTAGCGGCCGCCATGGCGCCTGCAAACGGGGATCAGTTCAATGAACAATGCACAAAAGGTTTCTCTGCAGCCCCACTTATTGGTTGGGGGTCGCACCCACACATGACCTCCAAACGCCGACATATTTCTCACACAGCTAAGAAAAAGAAAAGGTGAAGGCATCCGTCTGTGTGAATATAGACACCACGGTGCACTTCTGCACGGCGTGTGTCCTACGGTTCCACTTCATAAGTGTGTTATATGGTCCACCTCGTGGTCAGTGTTGATGTTTTTGACATTTTTTGTTTGTTAATTGTGGCCGTATATATTTTTTAAAACAATTCCAATCCCAGGGTTACATTTTTAGATTCCTATCTAAACATCTGGCTGTTATGCGATCATATGGGATCCCACATCATTGAAACAGGACCGAAATGTAAATTGTATTTTTCATAAATTTTGATTTAATCTTTTAGGTTCTCTATTATTGAGCCAACGGGTCACTGACTTACACACATGGGCGTTTGTGTGTCCGTTTCCCTCATCCTCTGTGTGTATTTATGTTCACCAGAGGCCCAGACTTATTGATTATATTGAGCAGCAGGGCTGCAATAGATCACAAAACCTGCGATTCAGATGATGAAACGTTTTTGAGTCAACGAGCGGATTGGCAGGAAGAGAAGAATCAAATAATTCCGTTTTTGTCCGTTTTTAACAGCAGCTGGTATAAAAAGCTCCAACCTTTCAGCAAATGTACTCTTTCACTCCCACAAATCGGTCTGCACTCAATATCGCCACATAAAGGATGAGACCTTTGTTTTATGACTTGTGGAAATGTGTTCCACACTGGAGGACTTGTTCTCTGAGCACGTCTGATCCATCTCAGTGTGTATGTGTGCTGGATTAGGAAGGCTCAGAACAGATTAGTTAATTATAGACACCTGCTGTCTAAGCGTGGCGTGCGTTGTCAGGTGCTGCAGCATGAGGCCGGCTCGGCGTGGAGCGGACGCATCGCGTGGACAAACGCGCTCTCGGGTTTGTCTCTTTGCCACCGCGTCCGGCCTCCGAGAGCAGCTCAGCTTCACACAACTCACCAGTTAGACAGCGTGACGGCCTCGCGACACTTTCACCAGACTGCAGAGAAGACGATCCGCGAATCAGACAGCTGGCATTCAACCGTCCCGCAGTAAACAATACGGCATTATCAGGACCAAACTGCCATTTCAATAACTGAATTATACGGCTAAATGCCCTCGTAAGCCCGCACGTCATCCTGACTGACCTATAATAAGAGAACAAGTAGGCGCATGAGAACTGTCAAAATGTGTCTGCAAGCACATTTAGTAATCGTCTCGTCCAAAGTCCCAGCATACCAGCTGAGGGTAAATGCTGCCATGGCAACACCACCACAAAGACTTCATGTCCAATGGCCGTGGCAAACTGTGACACTAAAAGGATCCGGGAAGAGTGGAATCACACAGACGCCACTCAAAGGCCGCGCGGCGCTAAAAGGCTGCGCCGCTGCAAACGCCTCAAATCAAATGAGGATTTAGTGCCGGCACGGTGCGCGGCGGCAAAACATTCGGGGGCACGTTGTGGGAAGATGACAAACACGCAGTTTATACAATTGTAAAAAATATAGATTTGGCTTGATTTCCCTTTTTATATTTGCCGTCATCCAAATGATCGAGTCCTCTCAAGCGTTGCCATATTGAGAAATGACAAACCACACGCATACTGAAACCATTCAAATCAGTCAGAATACAAAAAGGTACTCAAACATAAGCCATAATTGATGTCTGATTAAATACTCAAGAACGTGTGGAGGAAAAAGCCCCAATCAGTGGTTTTCTTTCGGTTTTGCACTCAAAATCAACTCTTATTCTGCTCAATGAGTTCTCCTTAAAGCTTCATGCAGATTAATTATTGTTCACAGTGGACTTAATCTCTGTGAACATATTCTACACTCATCTGAACAGGACACCACGTTGGTACCGGAAGCGTTCTGTGTTCCCTGCGTGGTCCGACTATCGGCCGATTACATTCAAGCAGGTTTTGGTTGCAGCTAAACAGTTGGAACAAAAGGAACTTATTATCTTGAACGCAATCTTGGATGATTCTGTTTCAATCATCAAACACAATTCGCATTGGTTTAACATCAGCTTCTAAACCGGCTGCCTGAGAAAACAATCTGTTCTCAAATGCTGGAGTTGACGACAGCTCCGGCCTCCCGCCGCTAATCGGACTCTAAACAACATGCAGCGCGCAGAGAAAGACGGCCGGGTCCGGATATCGGCCGGCTACACCAGAACCCTTTCACGTACGGCCTCTTGGCGCTAGAATCCTATCGCTCGTGACACCGATGAGCCAATGAGTCACCTCAAATCCTGTTTGCCACCCACACTGGACCCTCTACAGTTTGCCTACCGCAAGAATAGGAGTACGGAGGATGCCATGTCCACTTCACGCCTCTCTTCATAGCAACACATATGTGAGAATGCTGTTCGTTGACTTCAGTTCAGCATCCAACACCATCATCCCCTCCAAACTGATCACCAAACTCAGGGTTCTGGGCATCAACACCTCCCTCAGTAACTGTATACCGGACTTCTAATCTGTCAGGTTAGAGAACATCACCTCCTCAACCCGAACACTGGTGTTCCACAGGGCTGCGTGCTGAGCCTCCTCCTTTACTCCCTCTTCACCTACGACTGCAGACCGTAAATAGTTCCAACAACACCGTCAAGTTGGCAGACGACACAACGGTGATTGGTCTCATCAGCAACATGAGTCGGCCTACAGGACAGAGGTCCAGCACTTGGCCGAGTGGTGCGCCAACAACAACCTGGCACTCAACACCAAGAAGATCAAGGGGATCATTGTGGACTTCAGGGAAGCCGAAGGTGGCGCACACGCCCGCATCTCCATCATCGGGACGGAGCTTCAGCGTGTTGCTAGCTTCAAGTTCCTGGGTGTCCACATCTCCGAGGACCTCTCTTGGAACCTCAACCCTGGTTAGAAGGCTCACCAGCGCCTGAGGAGGCTGAAGAATGCTCATCTGTCCCCTCAGATCCTGGTGAACTTCTACCGCTTCACCAACTGCGTCTGCCAACACCGCCATCGAGACTGGCCAGCACAAAAGGTGTGTGCGGAGGACGCGCAGCATCGTGAAGGACAACTCCCACCCCAGCCATAGACCGTTTGCCCTCCTAACCCTCTGGGAGGCGTTACAGGGCCCTCCGTTCCTGGACTACCAGGTTCAGGAACAGCTTCTTGCCTGCCTCTGTCACCCTGCTGCACCCCGGGGACAGCCCCTACTCCCCTCCCCCAACGCACCCCCCCTTACACCACTCCCCTTGACACATGACCTTCCAGCCACTGAACATTCTGCACTTCAAATATGTCGTATTTGCACAACTATGCTAGAGTTACACTACCTTGTCATTCACGTGCACTTTATCTTCTCTCTTGCACTTCTGGTTGGAACTGCATTTTGTTGTCTCAGTACCTGTGCAATGACCATAAAGTTGAATCAAAGCTACTAGATTGATCCAAACATTAAATAAAATCCTGACGACTGTTTACCTTGGTCCTCCCCTCGTTTCGACGAAGCACGAACCCATTTGAGGTTACGAAATAATCACTTGCTTTGTGAGGAGCTTAGCCGCGTTGTTTGCCCACAAATCGTCGTGAACCATTTTAAATTCCCCACGCGGCAGCGGGGATGAACAGTACACATTTGATCGGCCGTCATGAGGCGGTTACTCGACTCTGATGCGAGGAAAGCACGGAATGTGCGTATCCCAGGTGTTGACACTTAAGGCAAAAGGGATGTCCAAAAAAGATGAAGACACTGCGAGCAATGAATTTATAAAGATTTTTCTACTCGAGCTCTCCCAGTGTGAAGAACTGCCTGCTGAAAAAGCATTGTTATGTTTCATTTCTTTAATTCATGAAATCCAAGCAAATAAGCGTTTCGCCGTAGTCCAACACATTTTGAGTTTCCAGTGAAACAAGACAGAACTCTCAGCGATTGTTTCCCCTCGTTAGGGAACTTTTGTGACTTGATTTCATTGGACGTCCAGAGGAGATACAAACCATTCTCACTCAGAACACAAGTAAACAAATAGAACCGAGCAACAACACAGAAAGCAACAAGGATTTTCACCCCTTTGCTAATCTGAGCTGGTTGACTCCACCCTCCCCGCCTGAGAGACTCCCGCCGGACCTGCAGGAGTCAGTTTACCTTTACGCACTAACCTGAGGCTGAATGATCTGTGATTTGGGAATAGACAACCAATGCTGAGAAAGGACCCGTCCGCCGATATTTAAAAGGAGTGTCGAGCCCCCGTTTAAAATACTTTTTGGAGTTTCTGACTGGATTTACTAGCCCGAGCGTCATGCCGTTGTTATTCATTCCTCTGATGCGGATGGCTGTGCAGTAGCTCTCAACAAGTACAATTTAAATCCAGAGCAGCATACAAAAACGACTGGTAAGCATTATTAGTGGCACGCAGTGATTTGGTAGTAGTGTATGAGATGAGTCATCAAAACATTGGTTCTGAAGGTGGCCGTCGATATAACATAAGCATAATCTCTGCAATAACAGCTGCAGCCTTTTGGGAGCAGAATTAGCGCGTTTAATAGAAAACATCCGTCTAATCCTTTCATTGACTCATTGGAGTATAATGTTTTTCAGATTTAGTTGTCATTTAGCACATGCACTCTGTCTTGTTCCGCCCTTTGACCCTTTTGCATCAGCTGCAGAGGCGGAGATGATGATATTCTATTTTGTGTTATTTTTAGTAGCAATTGCATAACATTACCATTTTGCATTGAAAAAAAAAAGCATTGGTCATTCATGATACACCTTTTGGTCGTCCAGGTCTTGAAGGATCTGTTAAATGCTTTTGGAGAACGTAAACAAATAGCAATGAAGTTTGTTATTCAAATCAGTAATCTCCTGCTTAACAGTGGTCAAGCTGAGTGGCGGTGACACCTTGACTTTTCCTGTGAAGCCCCTTTTGTGTTGCATAACTCAACCACTTGGGTGCTACAGGCGCTAAGTTGACCTTCTTTAGAAGGCTTAAGCCTCATTAATGCTCGAGCACAGTGTATCAGACAGGTGAAATTGACTTGCAGTTGCTCTGTTCTCGCCCGTATGTTCCTCTTTCACTCTCAGCTCCGGCGGAATGTCATTCATATATTCATTTATCGACGTTCAATGCTTTTGAATGTGAGAAGAACAATACATTAGCTGTTTGTTTTTTGCTTATATTTAAAGCTTTGTCAACGACCAACGTATTCTGTGTCATTCTGAAGGGACGTACTTATTTGTGATGGAAACACCTCACTCACTTCACCAACGTCGCCAAGAAAAACTCTTAATATTCCAGGTGTTAAAGTCACAAAGGTCGACACGGTCTGAATGACACGGCCATTCGCTGTTGCATAACTGTGCACGTCTGTGCTCTGCAGAGGATTTGTCGGCCACATGGGGAAGCTGATCTTTAAGTCAAATAGGCTTTGCCGCCGACCACAACAAACTAGAGATACTTGCTTTGGTGAGACGATGAAGCAGCAAGATTGAACGATGAGTGAAGTGAACGTCTCTGAACTTTGAAAGTCCTGGAAAGCATGAAGTCAAAGCACCGACCACGTGTATTTTACCTTGAACACGGAAATAGTATCTAAAATGATCATAAATGATGATGTATGGGAATCCAGCAGAAGCAGAGGAGGAGGACACCAGAAACAGCTGTGGTTCTGGTTATGAGTAAAACTGGAAAAATGACAAGGTTATTGATTGTTTGGGGGATTTCAGTCACTAATTGCACCCATGAGGGCTTATCTGCTGACTCTGGACAGTTTTGATACCCTCAACAAGGACACATAGTTATACATGATATGGTTATATATATTTATTATGCTGCTCCATACTCTGGAAGAAATAAAAAAGTGTCTACTGAAAGGTACTTCTATGACCTTCTAGTGTTACTATGTTGTTATTTCCAGCCTCCTTCATGCTGTGAATGACTACTCTTAAGTTTACAATTCAGATGGTAATTAATGCCAGCTCTTCTTCCTCCTCAGCCTCTTTCAGTGCCAACAAAATGCAGAAGCAAGTGGAGGTCAAGATGGACGGGAGCCACCTTGAGCCCGTAGTGGAAACTCCTGAAAGCATGTGTAGCAGCCTGTGTGATAAAATCATGAAGAACATGGTTCTCACTCTCACAATCTTGGGTGAGTTGTTCCATTACTGCCAGTTGCATTCACGGCCCGTCCGTTTGTCCCTTCTACTCGTGAGGACTGGAGCCTTTCCCAGCATTCATTAAACAAAACACAGTGTACAGTCTGGATGCATGTTTAGTCCAGCACGGCACTGCAAAACAAATAGACAAAAAATGAAAATACCAATGGAAATTTGGTGAAAACCGGTGAAACGGTTGGCGGGCTCGATAGCCGGGCGGCCTCTGTAGTTTGGCTTGTTTACTGGAGTAGCATAGTAGAATGATCAAGCTAAGCTAACCAACTAGCGGCCCACCAGCTGGCCAGCTGGCGTGTAAATGCCACTGGTTATAGAATATAATTCATATATGTGTGGATGAAGCATTCATTTTTACATTTTGACTCATTTGCCCTATTTCTGTGCTTTTTTCGTTCATGTGAAAGTTTTCCCACTACGGAGCACTTAAAAATGGCCGCTAAACTGTGGGAGGAGCCTGGGGAATCAGACACCGGCGATACTTTAACGCGAGGAGCTACGCTAATATTTCCTTTGAAGTGAACACAAAGAATGCTGTTGTCTTTGGTGTTATTTCTTATATTTTTTACTCTACACGTGGGAAAACATTTGGTTTAAAGTTGTTCTCTTCACTGTCATTCATTTTTAAGGGAGTAACTTAAACAGCCATATGGGGGTTAAAACTTGTATTCATCATGTAAACAATTATCGCTGTAATTTGCCAGCTAACCCGCCGGCATCACGACACTCGGGTGACGGCTCGTGTTGTTATTTTAAAACCAGCAGAAGGTGAGCTCGTATTCACGGCACAGGCGTTGACAGCGCCGTGTTCAGACACTCTCAGGGTTCAAGGTTTAGCATCTCGGCGGCTCAGAGTCTCCCCCCGCGTTGTGATTGATTTGTTATTTCTCACCGGCTCAGGTGTGTTTCTGGGCTCCATCTCTGGAATGCTGCTCCGGCACATATCGCCTCTCCCTCCCGATGTCGTTTTGATCATCGCCTTCCCCGGAGAGATCCTAATGAGGATGCTGAAGATGCTCATTTTGCCTCTTGTTGTTTCCAGTCTGGTCACAGGTGGGTGAGTTGGTGCAGTGGCGGCTGCGAATGTTCCGCTCAATTTGCTGAAATGAGGTCGCACGGTGCAACTTGTTGCTACCTGAAAGTGGTGCTGCTGGAGGAGAGCTACGAGTGTAGGCGGAGTTTTTTCTTCAGGCATTCGGTGTGTAAATAGGACCCAGTTTAAGGACGAAAACATACAGATGATTTTTCCTTTTTTTTATTTTCACACTCAAAAACTGTATTTTCACCAGAAAAAATGTATTTTTACCTTACATTGTCATCTGATTTAATCTTATTTTAACACACATTATGATATTTTTACTAACTTTTTTAATACTTTGGTGATTCAACGTATTCTACGTAACGGTTTGCAGAAATTTACCACGCAAACTTATTTTACAGCGACTGGGTTTACAAAATGTATTGTTGTTGAGTATTTAGCCTCATAACTCTCCTTTTAAAGCTTTAACTCTCTTTGCAATTTCTTATTGAATCTTATCTATAAATTGAGGAGCACATGGTAGTCTTAAACATTTGTCTATACGTTCTTTTGATTGTGACGTCCAGCTCAGTTCATGTGCATCTGGATCCCAGCAGACCCTTTCTTTTTTTTTTGGTTGATTTGTTTTGTAATATGAATTTTGTTGGAAATACTGTAGTCCACAATTTTGTTTTAGAAGCTTTTTTTATTTTTATTATGATGCACACATGATGATTTATTGTCGACAGTAGGCTACAGCGTCCAGGCACATTTTTAACATCACATGTTGATTTACACATTCACACCACATCACACGACTTGCATCAAAGCTTTCAGTAAAATTCGATTAATTAATGTGTTGACGACTGCAGTTATTCATTCTGTGCAGATCCAGAGTCGAGGCAGTTGGGGGAGAAACAACTTCAATAGATTAGTTCTATTGTCCGTTCAAATGGAACATTTGATGTTCAGAAATGTGCTTCTTTTGCACTCTGGCAGCATTTTGTACAACATTTGTTTTTCCAAAACATTTGCACAACATGTTCTCCCAGCGAGAAAAAAAATCAACAATTATCTACATGAGGTAGGCCTTGTGTGTGGAGGTGGAGGTCTCGGAGTCCAAACGCTGCAAGCTGGTTTCACTGGAAGCTGCTGTTTGGTGAAGGCAGCTGAACAACTCAACGGCGATTTTGAGCTTCAACTATTTTTAGCGACCGCATTCGTGCACAGCTTTCAGCAGAGAGAGACGGAGAGATGGAGAATGGAAAAATAGCCAAGTACCTTGTCCAATACATGAAAAAACAAAGATACTCCACATTGTCACCGTCAGATAAAACAAGAAACATTTTCAATTATTGAGCACTTATTGGATTGAACTCAAAAAACGTGCAATCTCACCAGGACTGGCGGGTTTGGATGCCAAATCCAGCGGCCGCCTGGGCACCAGGGCCATGGTGTACTACATGTCTACGACGGTCATCGCCGCCGTCCTGGGAGTGATCCTGGTGCTGGTCATCCATCCCGGTAACCCCAAGCTGAAGGCCAACCTGGGGCAGGGAAAGAAGAACGACGACGTGTCCAGCGTGGACGCTCTGTTCGATCTCATCCGAAATCTATTCCCAGAGAATTTGGTGCAGGCCTGCTTTCAGCAGGTAGGAGTCTGAGCGAGAGATCGCGCCCCCCCCCCCCCCCGCATCTGGTCTAGTTCATGTGTCACTTTGTGTTACTCACTCCGCTTCTTTTTCCAGATCCAAACAGTAACCACCAAAGTGCAAGTGCCCACTAACAGAACCAAAGCGCCCCCACAGTTCACGGTCAAGAGGTCGCTCCAGTTCAAGGGAGGCATGAACGTCTTAGGTTGGTGGAACACACCCAATGCAGGGCTGAAAAGGTTGTTGAAGAAAGGCACATTTTCTTTTTCATTTTTAATTACATGACAAGATAAAACAATAAGATAACACACACTTGCACCTAAACAGAACCTCCAAACCCTGGCAGGTCTAAAAATGAGTTTAATTGTCCCTTTTCGCCTGCACTTTACGGAATGTTATTATTAATTATTTTCATGTAATTGTGCCTCGAACAAATTGACATGTCTGTGCCATGATTTGCCCTCATTCCAGGCTATCTAGTTTCTTTAAAAACATGTTTATCCAAGAGAAATACAACACTACTGTGTTTCCACAGGTTTGATTGGATTCTTTGTCGCTTTTGGAGTAATTATGGGCAAAATGGGGGAAAGGGCCAAGCTGATGTTGGAGTTTTTCAACGTCCTGAATGAGATTGTTATGAGGCTTGTTGGAGCAATTATGTGGTAAGTGTCGTCCACTACAGGCTCCATTACTCCTCAATATATTCAAAACACTGTGAATGTATACCTGCAGCCATAACAGAGAAGTGCAATCATCTCGTGTCTCCCTGAAGGTACTCCCCCTTTGGAATCGCCTGCCTCATCTGTGGAAAGATCATCTCCATCGCGGACCTGGAGGTGGTGGCCAGGCAGCTGGGCATGTACATGGTCACCGTGATAGTGGGCCTGATCATCCACGGAGGCATCTTCCTTCCGCTCATATATTTTGTGATAGTAAAGCAAAACCCCTTCACCTTCTTCATGGGGATATTCCAAGCTTGGGTCACGGCACTCGGAACAGCGTCCAGGTACGAGGGGACTGAGAACTGAGGCCGCTGCCAGCAGCGTGTTCTTTAATAAATACTCACATTCAACCGTATCTCCCATGGCCATATGGTACATACCGGATACACGCTTCATATCAAATGGTAGCTATTAATAAGTCTTGCCTTTGTTGGCCCCTCACTTTGCCTCCATGTGGGTTGATTTCCCTTTACCATATGTTTTGTTAACAGCACGGATTCAGTCTTTCCCTCCCGTGGTGAGCTCAGTCTGGTCTGGTTCTGGCCAGCTTGCTGTCTTCCATGTTATTGTACAAATTAATTAAAATTAAGAAATCAGTGGAGTGGAGTTCTTTTGAAAAGGAGAACTGAGTAAAACCTACCGTGACATCAAGTGCTCCCCAGTCACATTAATCAACAGACAGTCCATGATTTTCGAGAAGGTTTTTTTTATTTCTTCAGTAAGTTTCCTGCCACTTTGGAGGAAGAGTTTGCAAAAAGAAATCACACGTCTTCCCGTCTGGTTTGGTCGTTGCAGCGCCGGCACCTTGCCCGTCACATTTCGATGCTTGGAGGAGAACCTGGGCATCGACAAGAGGGTCACCCGCTTCGTCCTCCCGGTCGGCGCCACCATCAACATGGACGGCACGGCGCTGTACGAGGCTGTCGCCGCCATCTTCATCGCCCAGATGAACGGGATTAACCTCGACTGGGGCCAGATCATCACGGTCAGGTGAGGCTGAAGACGCAGACGCCACGGCCCATTTGCGAGGTCGTATTTACACGGCGGATAGGCCAGATTCTTCCTTTGACGTCCGCCCGAGCCAAAGTATGAGGGATGATGATTTTTCAGATCATTCTCTTCCTCCATGAATAATGACCAAGCGTTTAAGCAGTGAAAAGGTCAAAACTTCAGCAAAATGCAATGTTTATTAAACACAGTAAACCTCTTGGTTTTTCCTGCTTTCACTACACGACTTCAATAAAAACTTTGGGGCTTTCATACAATTGTGGATCTGCTTAAACACACCGTGTTTAATCTTTAAGATAATTATCTTGATAAGGTCAGGCACTGTATTACCCGTGCACTTCCCGGTGTGTCTGGTGAGTCATTTCAATTGTCGTCATTCCGCCTTTATTAGAATACGTTGCCTGCATATTAACAGGGTTTAGTCGCAGCGCTCTCTGTCCTCCTGCTGAGAGTGGAATTTGCTTGCCCTTTTTAGCATGACAGCCACTCTGGCCAGCGTTGGAGCGGCCAGTATCCCCAGTGCTGGACTCGTGACCATGCTCCTGATCCTCACGGCGGTGGGGCTGCCCACTCAGGACATCAGCCTCCTGGTCGCTGTCGACTGGCTGCTGTGAGTTCACCGGCAACACAAATAAAACGCTTCCGATCCGTCCGCCCCTCAGAAATCCCAGTGAGGGCCCACGTTTAATATTTCCCTCAGAAACCCGAGAAAATGAGAAAACACGTTCTGCTCAGTGGCTTTTGGGTAAATGAGTAATCTAGCTTCATAGCTCCAACACCAACACACAGACTTCAGATAACATGTTCTTAACCACTTCGGTTGCATGAAACACACAACTAAAGTCGAAAAAAAAAACATGGCAAAACACCTCGGGACACGAACACAAGGCGTCCTGGATGAAAACTCGTCATATGTGCTTTGAATTCGGGGTCTGTAGCAAAAGAACCAGAAATGAAAAACAAAAACCACCCCACCCATTGGCAGCATTGTTTTCTTCTTCCTCCCTCCGGTAACCGGTAACTACACCCCCCCCCGCCCCCGGCGTCTCTCACACCTCTTCGGGTGCTCGGCACGCAGGGATCGTTTCCGTACCTCCGTCAACGTGGTGGGGGACTCCTACGGAGCCGGCATCGTGTACCACCTCTCCAAGCACGAGCTGGACTCCTTCGACCAGCAGGCCCGGATGGAGGATTTTGAGATGGCAAAGACACAATCCTTCTACGAAAATAACAGCAACCAGAATGCATACGCTCACCACAACTCAGTCTTGATAGACGACTGCAAGGTACATTTCACACTAACGGACATAGAGACGTGCATGTAGTGAGTCCTCCCCAGTTCTGTGTCTGTGGTTGTCTTTCTTTACCTTTCTATGTTTGTGTGACGTCTTCTATCGGCGTATTTGTGCGTGTGTGAATAGAAAATGTAATCTAAAAAAACAGTGAATAAATATTTCTATATTTATTCACTTGTTACTCATATGAAAAAGCAGTTTTTTTGTTACCAGCTTCGACCAATGCAAAGTATTTTTTTATATAATATAACTATATTAAAAAAAACTCTGTTTTACTCTGATAAAACTCAAATATAAGTGTTACATTTATCCATCAACCATTATCTAATGCGTTGTCTTGTACACATCTATAATTACGTTGTATTTTGATGTTGTTTGTTTTTATTTTATTGTTCTTTTTTTTTCTTCTTTTGTAATTCATTGGTTATGTATTTATGGCAGCCCTGACCAAATTACACTTTTCAATCATTGGCCATCTTTTTAAAAGATGTTTTTTTTGTTGCCAGTGGAATACAGAAAGACTGCTGTTTCACCATGTTTCATCAAGAGCGATTCATACAATTTATGAAATGCTTATGAAAGTGATTTGTAGGGAATTTGACTCACACGGTAGATTTCTGTGGATATTTCAATGTCTGTATGATGCAACTTTTGCATGCCGATCAACTTCGATGACTGATTACTGTAATTCGGTTGGGCAGAGAATCCATAAAATACATGGCCAACTCCGAGAAAAACTACTCCCATTCCCGTAGAACGTTGTCTCCAACAAACCACATTGACATGTGCGCAGCGTCCCTGTCTCATTGTATCGGCGTATGAGAGCACATGTGTGTGTCCACGCTGGGGGGGGGCATTCGCACAATAATTCAGCCCCCGAGGCCAACGGCCTAAAGACGCAATGGCTTCTCTGCTCCCAACCGCTGACGGTGTGTAAATGACGGTGCCTTGGCCCCACAGATAGATGTTCTTGATAATTGCTTGCAGGTCACCAATGGCAAAATCGGCAACCCCGCAGGGTTCTCTCTTGTTGAGGAGGGACCGTGGAAATGCGAGTAAGGCAGATCCAGACGCTGCCCGCGCCTTACCCCGAGTTTTCCGACAGCTTTAACTTTCTGCCGACACAACTGTAGGAAGTGAACAAAAAGCGCACATTTAAAAAAACAAACAAAAATAAAACCCATTCACATAGAAACGAGGGAGCGAACCGGGGGGGGGGGGGGGAGCAAGCAGAGTCAACTGTACCACGAGAACGAGCGGTCGGACGGTCTTTTTCTTTTTCGGTTTCCCATCCAGGGAGCTGCTGGAGCATGCGACAGATGACTCCGCGAACTTGTGTTTAGATCTTTGCATTTGCACTAGACACAAACTAACGAACTGGTGCATTTTCGAGCGCTTTGTGCAGAAGAATACATCACGCGGTTGACTGCACCCAGGGCCTTACTTGGTGCCGCTGTCAACGAAAGACTTCTTCGATCCTCGTGCAACATTTCATTTTTATTTTGTATTGAGCGTTGTCTTTGTAGCTTAGAGGGCAGAGGTGATACGTGGACGACGTCCTTTGTTGTTCGATGCAAGTTCAGAGCGAGAAAAAAAAAGTTGGTGTAAATGACTCCGGACTGTTGAAGAGCAGCAGATCAGTACTCGACCAGACGGTTGTTATCGTCACTGTCTATTTGCGTATTGTGGGACTACGCCCAGGAACACTGGACCAAGAGCTCCACACACTGCAAACTGGCCAAATGAAAACGGAACAGGAACAGGATGACATATCGCTCGGTGTGGCGTTGCGATGCGTGTGACGCTTAAACACTGTGTTACCTTTTGACTGTTTGACTTAACGGGATTACACGGTGATGTCACACACACATGGCCAAGCCTAAGAAGCAAAGCTTAGGGCTAAGACCATAAGAGCAGGAAGGGTGACCTCTAAACGTGGCAATCAACCAGCACAGGATGTGTCGCGGGGAGCTTTAAAGCAGAAAATAGAGTAAGTGAACGCTGCCCTCACAGCTATTTCTTCGTCGATTTATTACTTTTTGTACACGTGTTCGGTAGGAGCAATGCACTACGTTTCTGCAGTCAAAATGCATGCCTGTGTGCTGGAGTGTGCCGTGTACTCAATGTGTGTTTCTGAGAGCAAGGGGAAGATTAACGAGGAAAGGAAGATGAAGGTTCGACGGTGGGGAAACAAAAGATCAGCAGGCCGGTGGGTTGCTCTGTGTTTTATTTCATTTTTTTTTTTTCGTTGCTACGTGACAACCTTGCCTTGACGATGTCAACTGCAGAGTGCAGTCAGTGTGATGACCAGCACAGCTCTCTTAGAGGTATTCATTTTATTTGAATATTGGGACTCATATTTTTAGACTTTAAAACGAGTTTGGTAGAAGAAAACGCTCCTCCGCGTCCCGGGTTCACCTCTCCAGCGTCCCTCTCAACATATCACTTAGTTTTCCATGTGAGCTCCCTGCAGGTTCCACGCAGCAGATTTAGACACAAAGCGACAAGCTAGGATTATCCGCGGTCGAGTTTAGCAGGTGCGCACTAGATTCTGCCTCCAGCCGTAACAACAAGGTCACTGGACGTGGCCGAATATGTGCACGATTTTGGGTTTAACTCAGTGTGGCAACTGTGTTCAAAACCGAAGGGAGAACGGGATTATTTATTTGTCCTTTTTTATAAGCGACAGCTTATGTAATCATGTTTAAAGTGCCTCCTTGCACTTTGTGTATATACTGTCTTTAGATAAAGTGTATCAATCAAATGTGTAGAATTTGACATTTTACGTCACCTATCAGGATTGTTTTTGCTATGCTAAAAGTTTCTATAACTATATATATGCATCATTGTTAGAATGTCAATTTTCCTTCTATGGGCCACTAGTTGCCCCTATAGGTTGTGAATTTAGGAGTATTTATTTACAAACAATGCATTCAATTTATCGGTTTTTAAAACTGAGCTCCAAAGTTTTGTGCGGGAGAAAAAAAACAAAAACAAAGACCAACCTTTCTTACTTCTGTAATTAGTGAATGTTGTTCATTATTAAAGGGTTCCGAGCACATTAGGGTTGTTTTTCTGTGTGGAACATGGCGTTGGCAGGTACAATGTGTCTACATGCTGTGACAGCCTTCTTCGGTAATTAACATCACACATTAATTCATTTCAACAACCCCATTATCTATTAATTCACAACATCATTCTCCCATCTATCGCATTCCCTATTGGGCCTCAATCTAAATAACAGCTTTCTCACGGCGCTGCCCTCGTGTAGCAAGGCGCGTCTCTACGAGAAACTTTACGACCTTCACATAATAAAAGATGTATTTTCTATCTTGCTTTTTTTTGATTCTATGCACATGTTGCTCCAAGAATGTGTTCACCATTTTCTTTGTGTCTGACGTTCGTTGTGATGGAAAACGTCTTACACTTGAGTGCACTCGACAACAAACAAACAAACTGCAACGGAGCGCACACCCCATTTGTCAGGCGAGTGGACTGAACGTGTGTAAATGTTTTAATACTTGCGTGTGGATATTAATGGAAACAAATAAATGTTTATTGCCGAGCTTCCGTGGTTTTCATTTCTCAGATGTGCGTGTTTGTTGCTGTGCGGTGGAATCTGTGCTCGTGCTGCTGCGACAAACGAGTTGATTATCTGATCACTGTTTCCTTTAATAAAAAAAATCTGCAAAACCACAGAACAGCTTAATATAAGTTACAATCCACAACACAGTTGTCAATCACGTCATAACAAAAGGATTCAAAGTAATAATAAAGCTTTTAAAATAATCCATCAGGGTGGACACAAACTTTCCTCCCGTCAACAAGTTAAAATATTTACAAAAACAAAAGCAGAAACTTGAAATGAAGCCTATTTGTCAAACTTGACCCGTTTTGTATTTTACAGTGTATGAAATAAACCACGGTTTTGCCGTTTCAAACGCTGTGAAAGTCCACAGAAAACTTTTCGCTCAACGTGTTTGCGCTGATCTGCATGAAGCCGCCCTGCGTTTCTGGGACGATCCTCCAGAGGTGCGAGTTTGTGAGCCTCAGTGGGATTATTCTGAAAGCTCCTCCAGCGGGACGACGGTGTATTCTGACGCGTGTCCGTTCTCCTTGGGCCCCTCTTTGTGCAGGAACGTCTCCATCTCCAGCTCCCTCCGCTGGTCTGACGGGTAACTTTTGCCCTCGAGCTGCGCCGCCTGGGGCGGTCCATTCCACCTTCGTAAAAAAAAAAAAAGGATCATTAACAATTGAATTCTACGCTCAAAACAGGCCCAATTATGATATGTTGCTCATCTCCGTCAGATATTAAAGGCTCACCTTTCTCTAGTGGCGATGGCCACCAAGAGCACAACCAGTGCTGCAAGACCGACAATAAATCCAGTAATGATCATCCATCCTGGAGATTTGGGGAAGTAGGAGTTAGTCAAAAGGAACGGCTTGAATCAGAAAAAAAACTGATATTGGCAGCATTCCTTTTCGGGCTCACCTGGTGTACCGCCTGCTCTGGAGGATGCCGGTGCGTCATTCGGTGTTCCTACGTTTGGTTCTGAAACTAAGGAAAGGAAAACATCTGTTCAGTAAAGCAGTTATGAAAGCTATTGGCAGCGTCACTGATGGGAAAGGTACCGTTTGGGATATTTACCTCCGTATTTAGGGTTAAACATTCGTACATCACGTTGAATGGTTTTAGTCACCAATCCCGATCCGGATTCTTCCCCCGATCCGTCGCCTGAACCTTTGCTCTCTGCAAACACTTCTGGGACCTTTCGTCTGCTCAAAGGGGCCCCGGAGGATGACGACGCGGCGCTGGTTTCTGTAGCGGAGCCGGAGGTCGTGGAAGCGGTGGCGTACGGGCCAAACATCTCCCCGTCTCCAGACCCCGAGGCGGACGTCTCGTTGCTCAGGAAGCCAAAGGTGGAGACGGCGTGGTCAGCGGCCTTAGAGGTCGAGAGGTGGTCCGGGGTGACGCCGGGCCGGGCTTCGTTGGGCGCCGAGGTCGAGCTGGACCGGGGGCTTTGTGTGGCGAGTTGATCCGAACTGGAGTAGTCTGTGATCGGCGGCGGCTGTGTGGCGGCCGAGCTCGGGGCCCGTGCGTCGGCCGTGGCTTCAAACCGGAGGGACACGGAGGTCGCGTGCACGTCGCCGGCCTCCCCGGCGCTGCCCTCCGCCGCGTCGCTCTCCTGCGGGCCAGAGGTCGGCCGCAGGGACCCGGTGAGGTTTGCGCTCGGTGATTCAGGTGCGCCTGAGGGGAGGAGAAGGTGGTCGACCAGGAAGCCGTCCGTGGCGGCCTCTCGGATGACCTCGTCCTCGGCGTTGTTGTGGATGTGGGTCGTAGCTGGGAGGGAGAAAAATAAAAAAAATAATTAAAAAAAAAATCCACGGGTCACATTGAGAGTTTGCTCAGCAGGCCTCGACACGATGAAAGGAGAGGAAAGTTACTGGGGCACAAGTGCTTTGACCCAACATCTTGTATCAACTTGTTGCGCTAGTCTCTTGTAATGATTAACCTTGGTGACTAATCGGCAAACAGGACGGGCAGCCTCATCAAAGTATTACATTAACAAAGGCAGACCGCTCTTTTGACTCACCCTGTACCACAGAAAACCATGACTGTTGCTTCCGGCTGCTTAAGTCGGTAGGAAGCCAGTTTCAGGGTTTTGTACCAGTATGGAAGAGGAAGCAAGAGGACCGAATAGGAAATCTCAGCACACCATGATCCAAAATGTATAGAACATATTTAACATTTGGCGTTTGCTCAAGTTATTGTCTTCCGACCTGCTTTTTAACAGAAGATCTTTTATTAAAAGAATATTTTTCAGGTTAATCTTGTGACCTCTTTAAACGGGTCCGATTCCCCAAACCTTTGGAACCAATGGTGACTTCATATGTAATACTATCCAACAGTAGAATGTTACTTGCTCGTTGATGCAACAGTCTGGTTAATGTATCATATTAAGGTAAAGAGGGTGTGCCGGGAACTGCAAGGTTGGTGGTTCGAGCCCCCCAAAGTGTCCCTGAGCAAGGCACCTAACCCGTAATTGCTCCCTGGGCAAAAATGTAAAAAGGCCATGGGTTATAAATGCAAGTTGCTTTGGATAAAATCGTCAGCTACATGACCTGTAATGTAATAGTAACCTGTAAAGTTACAGCTGCCAATGCTGCAAAACATTCACTTTTGGCGTTTATGTATTGAACACTTGAATTGGACTTTCCTTGTCTGGCCTTAATGAGAAACAAAGTGCTGCCTGAAAAATCTCAAAGTAAAAAGTTAATTAAATAGGGAATGAGGGAAGGTCTCCCTTTCTGCCCGGTCATGTTCCGCTGCAGTGTTCCCTATGAAGTTACACGTTTGCCCAAACTTCTGTGACAGCTTTTTGCTGATCTCTGGTGTCACCTTACTCCAGACACTGGCGTTAATGCACCTCCTGGAGCAGCTCGCCACGCTTTACAAAAGATCTCTGTGTGTCATCAGGAGGTGCCAGTGAAACCTGTGCACCGGCGGTGAAATACTACTCTGCGGTTCTCGCAGAGGGAGCGAGACCTGGAACATGAAGAGCATCTCAGGCAGGGAGGAGAACGCGCTCACTCCCGGGGTCAGAATAAGGACGCCGCGGACGCCTCGGGCGTCTGTGGAATTACTGCTTTGTCAGATGGAAAAGCCGTGAGAACGGCTTCACTGGTCCTCAGGTGAAAGGATTACATTTAGTCCAACAATCTGCTTGATTAACGGTGATCATCTTACGTGGGGGAATAATCAGATCAAAAGAGATCTACCTGAATATTGATTTATTCCCCCCCACTTAGTTTTATCTTTTAAGACAAAACCTCATGGCTCATAAAGTCACTTGCAGCTACAAAAAAGGTTATTTTAAGTGCTGCAGAAATATTCACTGCTTTAAACAGAAAGCATGAGAAACGGTTACTTACTGTGAGCAGGCGACGAGTGGACAACCGCGAGAAGTCCGAGAAGGACCCCAAACAGAAGACTCCTCATCTTGATGCAGGAAACCTGGGACGCGTCCATGGCTCTGACGTTGACTGAGCTGAAACTATTGAGAGCGGTGAACTGACAATCATGTGTTGGCTTTTTATAGGAGCAGCAGGTATGTGTCACATCAGTACAACAATGGCTGACGACACACACACACACACACACATGGGCCGGCACACCTGTGGACACACCCTCTTCCTAATAAACTTTCTCACACTCCCCCTGCTCCCTTGGAAGAATAAACAGTTTGTAGGTACTTATTGATCAAAGAGCAACAGAAAAGTCACATTTAACCCTTGAGTTTTAAAATGTTACGCAATTAAAAGTGTTACATATGCAATGTTGATGTACAAAAAGATTACCATAAAAAGAATTTATGGTAATAAAACAAAATAGGTAAATAAATATACATACATGCTCAGATACATGCATATATTTGTAAGGAGCGGATAATTGAGTGGAAACAAAATAATGGCAGAATTTTTATCAAGTTACTCGGTCAGAAATATTGACAACATTGACAGTATGAAAAAAAGGAAGAATGCAAAACATTCCTCCTAATATTCAAACTCAATTCAGGTGCGGGCCAGATGTAGCCCACCTCGACCGAACGCGGGTCAGACCATTACGGCCTGCGGGGGGGGGCGCTGGCGGTCCAACAGTCCGACGAGGGAGGGTGTAAAAACTTAAACTAACATTAAACTTTCATATTAAGGTGGGAGCCACAAAATATCGTCCCGAGAGCCGCAATTGGCCCGCGGGTCGCGCGTTTGAGACCCCTGTCCTAATATATACATGCAAAATAATGGGCAATATTCCTTTAATTACGTATTTTATTCTTTTTAATGCAGTTAAATGATTAAAAACGCGTCAATGAATCTGACTGACACTGACACCTCTTGTCGTGCATATTCATACATCGATGGTGGGAAGGTGCCAACCGTCCATCGGTGCCAGTCAACCCAAGGACACACTGACTTGGACTAAAACCTCCAATGAGCACATCGCGGTACAAGGAGGAAGTCCAAGCAACCGCTTGATCACGGGAGAACCCCCGAGAACCGGCTTTAACGGGCAGCAGAACAGTTGCCAGCTGGGAGAAATGCTTTGGAAACATGTCAATGTTCAGCAGATAAGTTATTTCCTTCTCATAAGTTCTTTGTTCGTTCCACCTCTCTTTATTCCCACAGGGAGAAAAAAAAATGGGTTGCGACACGATCTTCGCTTTTGGTCTGGTTTCAACATTTTTTTGCGCATTTCATCAGCGCCTTTTTCGCCACATCCTGCGCGCCGTCTCGCCGCGTGTTTAGCGATCGTCTGGTGTTCGGCGGAAGTCGATGCGTCACAGCGGCGGTGTTCTCCTGACGGACGTCACGGTTTGCTCAGCGTGCGTGGGCGCGCACGTGCTCGGTCCTGCGCTCCGCACCTTGACGAGGCTCCTCCTCCTCCTGTCCGTCACAGGTGGGAATGGACGCTTGATGATGAGTCACCAGACGCCAACATTGCGCACCGTTATGCCCGCAGTGAAACAACCTTGGCAGTTTTGGGGAAGATTTATGACGGCTAACCGGCTTTGTTAATGGCTTCTCAACTAGCGTGAGGGTGATTCAATTATTTACTGCGTTCTCATTTTAAAAACATTCCTTTAGATATGTAGACTTCGACAAGTAGTATTTCTCTTTGGTTGAGCATCTTTCTCCCGGCGTAGACATGAAGCCATGGAGATTTGGCCCCCGTTTCTCCTCAGAACTATACGTACATTTAAATGCTGAAAAGTGAAACAGCCTCAATTTTTTTTTTTAAACGCCAGCGTTTCAAAATGTGCCTTTTCAGAACAGGCTGAATGCTCGGCCTGCGGTGTTGCTGCTCGCAGCTCCCTCCGAAAACTCAAAAGAAAGCTCAGTCAACTTTCAACAACATAGTTCTGTCACATTCCATTGACGTGACTACTCAGCGAGAAACACTCTGGTTCAAGGTAAAAAAAAACTGCCTTTACTGATAGGAAAAGTTGCCGACTTGAGCCCCCGAACTAAAAGGTGCCCAAACAGTAATTGTTGAACTATGAAAGTAAAAATAAACACTACTTACTCTGTGCTTCTACTTCAGAGGAAAACATTGACAACATTCACTTGACATGTTAATGTCAAAGTTCAAGATTTGAGTCACAGAATATATAATGTTTGAAATATGACGCGTTGTTGTTCACTAAACTAGCATTAAAATTTAAAGCTCTACCTTCCAGTTTTACTATTAGGTTTTTCTTTATTTATCACTGACAATATCCACCACCCATTTAAAGAAATGGGGAGAAAGTAAAGCTACATGGCGAATGCCTACAGCCCCCCCGATCCCCAAATCCTCCTGGGCACATGTGAGGAAGCGTTTGGTCGTAATGTGAACTGCACCCAAGGCCCGACCGCCGTGAGCGACTCAGTCTGCAGAGCTTCGACGCCCTGAAGCCCCGCCCCCCCCCCGCCGCTCAACAGTGCTGCTCGGGTATTTATTCCATTTTGACGTTGAACGTCGAGTATCTGTAACAATTCCTACAAAAACACCCCTCAGGGGTCCCGTGCAGTATAGGCCACACCTGCCGGGTGTGAAGTCGATTGAATAATATGTGAAGGCCACGCAAGCGGCCAGACAGACTATTTATATTTGCTTTGTAGCAGATGGCCAAACATTTGTCCCCATGTTAGCCTGTGTCGTACTCAGCAGGTGTGCTAGAGGCTAAAGGGGAAAGCAGGCATTGAGGCCTAGTGTTTATCCGGGGGATGATGTCAGCAGTGACATCATCGGCTAGACCAAGTGAAAGGGGGGTGGGGGGGTTAGTTGTAATGGGTGTTTCACACGTATATATGAGCAGGTTGATTGATTGACGGTGCTACAAAAGTTAAGAGGACATTGACTGCTGGGGGGCACGACTGGAACATCCGTGTGGCTGAGTGCACGTGATTGATTATGTTAATAAATTAGGTTTATTTGTACATATGTTTAACGTTACGTGTACGAGGGACCTTCTGATACCTGGACCAAGTCTTGCTTGTCTGCCTCCTACCAAGTCACTCGGTCTTGGCTTTCTCACACCAAGTGAAAGTGGAGGAAACGCGCACACACACACACACGCCGGCCCGTCCGAGCTTCGCCAAACTATAAAACATGACACAGGGTTTTTCTCTGTGTTCGTGTACAAACGAGAGCATGAATGGCTAAACTCTGGCATGGCAGCAGAACACAGGGTCTTTTAAGGGCAGGTCCTCTGGGCGTGTGCAAAACAATTAGCTGCCATTGTGAAGGCCCCGTCCTCCCCTCCACCTTGCTGTTATCTCGTGTTTCATGGCAGCAGCCATTGTCCCTGTCTCCAAAGTCCCAGCTCTCTCTCTCTCTCCCTCTCTCCCTCCCCCCCTCTCTCACATCTTTTGCCACCACGAATAATCAAGAGAAGCTCGTCAGCCTTTATCGCCTCCATCCTACCGTGGTCAAATATCCGCTTCAGTTTGAACATCTCTCCGCCGGATTCATAAAAACACATAATAGCGGACCTCATTGTGTTCTCAGGCAGTATTGTTTGTCGCCTTTCCAATTTTGACAATTTCCGTGAAATGTGAAAAGGGATTTATGAATTCAAACAGGGAGGAAGATAACGTTGTGTTTCAACCGGCGGGCAAAAAATATTAAATCCACTGAAAGTTTGAAAACGTTATCCGTCACGTCATCTGAATCTAGAACCATGAATGCAAATGTTATATTCAAGTCCCTGAAGTAATTAGTCTCTATTCTTTCCCACATAAAATATCATGGTTGGAAACATGCAGCTTCATAGATATGTTAAGGGAGGGCATGAGGACCAAAGGAGTTTATTCAGGGTTCATTTCCAACATTTTATGACATCGCCACGGCAAGAGTCTACTTGAAACAAGCCATTCCCTTTCACCTGTAGATGATTACTGCTTTTCTTTTCCAGAAACATGGTTTTATCTTAATCACTGGAACAGTAGTCTGCTTTTAAGTTTAAACTGATCGCAGTGTTTGTACATCACTTCTATCCGTTGAAATCAAAACGGAAAAACAATGTTCTTACTCCAAGATAAAAGTTATAAAGGTTTATTGTATACTACTGTAATTCCAACTGTCTTTTCCTGGTTTATTCAGCTGTAATATTGTTTTACTGGTTGACAAAATGCTGCTGCCAGACTCCCACGCTAATCAAGCGGATACCTTGTTTTTATTATTCAGTCTCAAATGCTTCCTAATTGGTTTGCATGAATTATTCCAGTTATTTATTTGTTATATTTGTGTGTCTGCTGTTTTTTTAAGGTTAATAAAAAACGGACAATTTAATACATAAATACACTTCAGCTCCTCCTTTTACGTACACACTAGCTAACGTTAACCTAGTTTGTGAAGCTAACGTCAGCTAACAGCTAACTTTTGACTGAAGATCGGCCAAAAGTTAGACACTTCCACAGTTATTTATTCTATGTTTGTGTGTCTGCTGTTTTTTTAAGGTTCTTTTGTTGCGTTTATATTTATGAATAAAGTGTGTGCAACATTTAATATCCTTCTACTTCAAGAGTATTTCTGTAAAAGAACAAGTGGCCGTAGATCAGGGATTACCAAAGTGTGGTGCGGGCACCCGTTGGGGTGCGCGAGAGCAAAACATGTGATGGTGGTCAAATGAAGTAATAATTCATATTAAATATAATTTGTAAAGAATCACATGACATGACTTGTTGAACTATAATTATAATTTAAAATAAAAAACGGACAATTTAATACATAAATATCCTTCAGCTCCTCCTTTTACGTACACACTAGCTAACGTTAGCCTAGTTTGTGAAGCTAACGTCAGCTAACAGCTAACTTTTGGCTTGGCTGACTAACATCGGTAGGTGTCAGGTGGTGTGAGATGCATGTGAACATCTGAAGCTATCAGCCGCAATAGAGAAGAGGACAAATAGACGGAGGAATCGGAGGCGATAGAAACAGAGTTAATACTTACTCGCTAACGTTACCTTTCTCTCGCCCCCTGCGCTGCGTGTGAAATCCTCAGATAGAATCCTCCCTTTTTATTCAGTTCCGTTTCTGAGACTATGCATGTGCCACTATTTGTTCTTTACGTGGTTTACTGTGTTTAAGTAATTTCAAATTCCCCTCCGATGATCAGTTGTGATGCGTAACTTTACATTTTGAGTTTTAAATAATTTAGCCACTATGTATGGTTAACTGGAATATGATGCAATCTGCCTCACAGCCTGTGCGTGTGTCCTCGTCCTTCTTATTGCTCCTTTAAAGTGACGTACATGGAATTTATTGAAACTTTGCAGTGTTTCAGGGTATTTATGTATTTTTTTGTCCTGATCCGGAAACAATATAACATAATATTGTAGTTGCCCGCTTTGTTTGGTCTGTGTTCCCACTGCAACATTTGACAGCGGACTATTGTAAACAAGCACCACCCGTTAGCAAACTATTCAGTCATTGGTCCAATTTTAATGCAGCTATAAATAGACTTTTTATTTTCAGTGTGGAGGTATGGGGTTGCATGAACCTGGTCCACGTGGCCTAAAAAGTTTGGGAACCGCTGCCCTAGATGAAAAGTAAAAACCCTCATTTATTTTAGAAAGAATATCTGTATTAAATCGCAGCAAAACGCCAATAAAAAGAGCTTTACAAATCAAAACTTTCATTGAGGTGATCAAAAAAGATGGTGGTACTACTGGGCCTGTTTCACCTCCTTTTCTATCACCCTTATTCGGGCGGGTTTGTGCCGGTTGTGCAGTTGGAGAATTTAATGACACTTCAATCCATCTCCGACAAGCACTCCGATGAGAGGCATAACTGAATCTGCCAGGCTGAAGATCCGCCAAAAGTTAAGACACTTCCACTGAGAACTTTTCCCACGCAGAGTAGAACAGGACCAGCAGCTCCTAAAGGAAGGTTGAACTTTGAAGTTGGACGTCCAGCTGTCCAGCCCCCGGGGAGACTGCGCAGCCCAGACACAGCGGACACCGTGTTGTTGAGAGGGGTGAGGAGGGGCAGTGTTTTGGGAGCTCTTCCTAAAGTCCACGGTCATCTCCACAGTTTTGAGTAATTTTTGTTTTAGCTCCGGGTTGTTCTGACTACACCAGTGAGTGTGAAGCAACAGAAAGCATGTTGAGACTGGACGCAGTTCTTTTTAAATCAACTTCCTCAACATTTATCACTTGCGTTGACTAGTATGGATTGGTTATGACATATATACAACCTATTTCTATATTAAATTTCTTTAAGGTCTCAACATTGAGGTGGATTTAGGAGATGATGGGGAACAGGGGCTCTGTGTCATTTACAGTATTTAGAGGCAGAGATTACTTAATTAAACATATGTTAATATCTGAATGCTTATTCCAGAATATTTTACCATGACAGTATGAGTTGTATGTGCTTGTCTGTAATAATATCTGTAATTTGTTATATCAGGCCTGAACGGAGCTTAAATGTTTAACACCGTGGATGCAATGGACGGTCCTCAAAAGACACCTTCGATATGCAACGTCACGTCTATTGATGACGTCGGTGGAAGAAATTTGCATCCCAATCAGATTAAAGGTAAAAGATCAGAGTTATTAGATCCAGTGGTGTTGTGGCTGCACTATGTGAGCCATAAATGTAGTTTAGCATCAATCCAGAGGGTGCATGTTTAAAGCCTAATAGTGAGAAAGTATACCCACACTCACACAAACACATCTACAATGCAGTGGTGGAAAACAAGAGTACAAAAATAAACTATCGTGGCTCACTTTTTTACTCCACCAGGTTATTACTTGAGTTACTCTTAAATGTGAGACCCGGAAGGTTAAAATAAAAGGAATGATTCAGCTACACTCCTTGACAACTGCTTAGCAAATATTGTGGTAGCACTGGCATGGGCCATTGTGTACATTGAGGCTAAGTTACCTTACTATTTCCTTTACTTTGATTGTATATAGACCATTAAGTCAATGAGTCAACCCCCCTCTGGACATACCTGGCTGAAAAAAACGAACTGCTCCCACGTGCACGTTTCAAAATAAAACTGTTATCACAATGCTTGTTCCACCGCAGATGTGCACAGAAAGAAACAAGAAAATACACTACATTTTGTTAAAATAATATCATTCTGAGGCGAAACGCTTGAGAAACACAGGATGGTTGAACGAATATCACATCCGGAAAGGAATCCAGTCCGGGTGTCGCACGTCGATGACGCAGTAACAGGCCAGTAACAGCAGTTAGCTATTTTGACATCGTAACTGCGTTTTAACCACCGACTGACTTCAAAACGCAGGTAAAGTAGGAAGTTGTGGTATTAGTGGCATATTCGCTGGTTATTTCAGGGGCAAATTCGCTGTTGCAACACAACGCTTTTGCAACCTGTTTTAAAAGTTGGTCCAGTTGCTAACGGCAGGTTAGCCAAAGTTGCTACAGATGACTCATCTGAGGCAACGACAGAAGAAGCTGCATATCACTTAACATTAATGTGATGTGTTTTTAATCAGCTAAAAACGGAACAGTTCCGTGCCACCAAACAGACACAATAGCCGCGCTTATTATACTGAAACGTCAAGTTATAAAGTTACGCCAGTACAACTTTATTAAGCTAACGTCAACTGAAACATCCGATCGCGTGTCGCAGGCAACCATGGTAACGTTAGCTTAGCATTTAGCAAATGAAGTAAATCAGTGGCTCTCACCGGGAACGCGTAACGTCAACCTCATGTGCACTGTGGTAATTGTTCAACAAGGAATTTAAAGATCGTTAGTAAGTTAGCGGGGCACGTACATAATCAGACGTGTAAGTTCTTTTTGGGATAGTTTTTATTCTAGGAAGAGTTCATCTGGTGGTCTCTGTTTAAAGTGTTTATCGGTGAAACCATCGATCAAACGTTAATACATGCCGTCTTACGCTGTAACCCACGTTTGCTAAATTCAGTTATTATAGTGTTGCAACATCTCTCATCCAAATGTCATGTGTGTTCACATGTCAAAAATTCCAGCGAAGCAACAAGAGTCGTTTTTCAAAACCAGTTCTGGGCTTCTACGGTATCACGTGAACAGGAGGAAAAACAAGGGCTGCACCTGGAGACGAAGATACGAGAGATAAGATTCTCCTTTGTTGGCCCTGCGGCGGGGAAATTCACAGGATAACACGAGAAAGTTAAATTAATGTCATAACACACGCAGACGTTTCTCTTAACCTTCCTCTTGTGTCAGCTTTTTGTTACCATCTCTCAAGTCAGCTGTAAAATACACTAAAAACAATCATCTATCATCCGATTGGTTTCTCATCTCTTGGTTACCTTGTTAGGCTTATTAATCCATGAAAATATTGATTTTAATATTTTTGGTGTGGGCCTCAGGGGCTTTTCTCTGGCTGGTGACTGCGAGTCACTCACTGGATACTGAATTGACCTCCTATGGTGGTCTTTGCTTGTTTGTGTGCAGGTAGACTGGATAAAAAGGTCAAATGAGAGGTCACATGATAATCGGCAGAGGAGCTGGCTGGCAGTGTACTCATGATTTTAGTTTTGGCTCTAATTATGATAACAACATAAAGGTCATCATTTCAACCAGAGCATTTCATAATTTAGTGAAAAGAAAATGTTTTTATTTAGTTGAAATCGAGATGTCTGACAAAGTCCAAAAGCCTCGATGCAGTAACACATTTATGTGGTTCTTTTCATGCATTTAAAAGGGGTCGGTGTTGACCCTAACACAAGAGACAGGGCTCAACCTGAGCCAATGCGCTCCTTCACATATTGTCCAAAACAATTCGAGTAGTAAACAATAACCATCAAAAGTTGAAGCAATTTATTGAGGGGACTGTAGTTTAGTGTGTTTATAGTCTATTTATATAATGTTACGTTTCTGTTCCAAACCAGCACCCAGGCGACAGCAGATCAAACCCAACTTAATACGACTTCCTGATCCTTCTCGTGTTTCTTTGGAATTAAAACATGTTCGTACTAATACTTAAATGGTGCGGTGTTGTTCAAACCAGTTTTTGTGCTGACAAGTTCTGCCGAGTTTCCAGCAGGAAGTGATTTTAATTGTATAAAATATTCTCAGGAAGCCATTACCAAAAAGGAAAACCTGGCTTTTCATTGGTACTGTGCTCCTTAAATCTAGTTCTCCAGGTCCCGATGTCTCCTATATAGATTATACTATGTACACATTTCTGGACAGAAGTGAATTAAGCTATTATCCAGTTTATCCTGATTGATTGTAGAAGGTTAGGATGTTCAAAATTGTGCTGAGAAAAGATTTAAATAAACAACTAAAACAAAGAGACGATTGGTAGGCGCGTCCCCTGGTTTGAAAGCCGTTGTCGTCCATTCATGTCACAACTAAAGAAAGCCCTGAACGAGAGACAAAAGGCTGAAGAGAAGCCTAAAATATTTTTCATTTAACTATGACAGTTACTGCATACATTAAAAGAAAAGTGTATTGTATTTTCAATTTGTTGTTAGATTTGATTTGTTTTTTATTAGTTACGCATATTAATTCCTACTTTGTCAATTTGACCTGTTCAGAAATACACCCTATTTACACCAGAATATGAACATTGATTTGGTTACCGTCGTCTATTTCAGTCAATTCCACACTTTTGTTTACTGGATTGTTATCGTAGAGATTCCTTTACGGGTTTTCCATTGGGCATCTTTCTTTTGTATAAATAGAAATTTAAATCAATGGTGGCATCTGAGGTTTTTGAACAGCTCTGCCTATCTGCCCTTCCATCAAAAGAGAAGCGTGGCCCCTCGCTCACAGACGGGTGGGAGGAGAAGGAGTGGGAGGAAGGAATGGGTGAGAACTGTAAATCGGTGTGTGCCTTTTATTCTTCCCTGTATTATCTCAATCGTGTCTGATTTCAACAGGGAATAAATCCACATCAGGCTGACAGCATGCTGTCATTGTGACCTACCAGCCCCGAGTCTGTCTCGTACGACTCTAAAATCAATGTTGCTGCAACCGCTTCACACACTTCTTCCCTCGACGTTGTGAGTCGTCTCTTAATGTGCGCGGCGGTTCTCTCACAGGAGATGTCCTCTTTGTGTGGCCCCAGCAGCAGCTGCCAAGATGCAGATCAAGCGGCAGCAGAGAAACAAGTAAGCATGAGAGGACGCTTGAATTCCATGCATTTTGTATGACGTTATGCTTTGGAAACATACCTCTACTGCCAAAGTGAGGGATGATCCAGTAGCATTATTCATAAACGTGCATGTGTTGAATTGAACGATATTATTAGGCTGGATTCCACTTTATTGTAACAGCAGAGATCTCTGCTATTGGGACAACACAATAGATCTAAGCAGAAGTGTATACTCAGTAATATAGCAAATACGTTACGAACGAACATCAGGGACTGGATATGAAGATGCTAATAGATAAATAAACATATACATATATATATATATACACACACATACAGCCTATTTATAAAGTATAACCAGTATGAGGTGAATACGCCAAGATATATACAGTAGGCAGGCAAAAAATATAGTGCTGCTAAGTGGTGGTTTAAAAGCTGGAGGTATGATATAATTACGGTGTTCACGATGGGTACCACAGTATGGGCGTGGTGTGAGTAAGAATACACGCCGAGAGGACACGAAGTATGTATTGCATTGACAGCCCAGGTAAGTGCGTGCGCAGCAGTGTGGCGGTGAGAAGCAGCGATGTGAGTTTGTTCGGAGCTCAGAGAGCAGACGGCTGATCCTGAACCTGCTGCTCCAGGAACACAGTCTGGTTGCGCCTCCCGGAGGGAAGGAAGTACAACGAAAAAGATACAACGAAATGGAGCTCCTTTCACGGCCTCCGGTCCGAGGCGCAGCAGTTGTCGTTCCGTGCTGTTACGAAGTCGGTAAAAGAAGACGGATGCACTCTCAGAAGAGTCTCAGAAGCAAATTTGCACGCAATTCCTTCCGACTTCCCCTTTGTGTTCCTGGCACGCAGCTTCAAGCCAATTGCACAATGATGCTTTTGTCAAAGACTGTTTTTAGCTGTGGATTAATACACATTCAGTGCTCAGTTGAGTACAAACAGCTGAATGGGTGTTTGGGTGGGATTGAATCCGAACTACATGCCATTTAAGTCGTAACTTGGCACCCAAAACAATAATAGAGAATCATGCGGCTGGCTAGTTAGCGGGCTGCTTTGGAAAGGTGCACGTTGGGCGGACATCATTTAATCGAGAGTCTTGTGTCCGTTCCAGGAGAAGGAGCATCCTCGGGTTCTCATCCCCGAGCTGTGCCGGCTCTTCTACCAGCTGGGATGGGTGACGGGGACGGGCGGAGGCATCAGTCTAAGACGAGGGTTCGTCATAATCTTTCTCCTAGAAAATGTCTCCCAAGGAGTTGGTGTTGGACATCACGCCAAGAAATGTAATGTTTTTGTGCCGCGAGGCTGAGGTTGCAGTTGAGGTTGCAGTTGAGGTTGCAGTTGTGGCGGCAGAAGGCCGCCGTGTTTGCTCAAAGAACCAGGGCTCGAGCTGCTGGCTTCGACCATCACAAACACCTTTGAACTTTTAGGTGGCGGCTATAAATCATCCCCGTTTGAAATGCGGATGGCGGACATTTGTTTGAGCCAACGGGGGAACGTGATGAAACCTCAGAGGAAACGAAACTCCATCTGCTGACTGCCGCTCGGTGCGGAGCGGCGTTCCGCTCAGATGGGAGAACATTTAAACTAAACGAAAAGGCCGACCGGAGCGTTTCCTTGCAGTGTTTAATGATTATACCTTTTGGTTTTGATATCTAATATGCAGTTCTTTTGCTCCGCAGCAATACCAAAGCTATTCAGAGTAGAGTCCACGAGTCGTATGTTTACAGGTCTGTGCTTGTTGAGCTTAGGAACCCAAAAGCCTTTAAGACGTATTCATTTACTCCGGATAAAGGAAGGTGGATAAAGGGAAACGCGTTACGCAATCGAAATTGGCCGCAGTGTCATTTTACAGAGCTGCTGTATTTTTATTTACTGTGAGAGCCGGTCCCACAGAGTTTAAGGTCTGAAGCTTCTTTTGTTTCTCCCTTTTCACGGTTGCTCTGCGTTTGACTCAGAAAAGACTCTGAGCCTGAGGCCGAACACCAACCGAAATCAATAGGATACTCCTTTACTGGCTCGGCACCGAAGAGCACAATCGCTCTTTCCTCCTCTTTATGGGGGGGGAAACGTCCCGGCTGTCACCATTTAAGCACAACTCTGGTCATGAAATGACGCTGCGTGTTTAACACTGAAAGCTGTCCTCGGAAGAAAAGACACAATAGCGCGAGAGTCCAGTTGCGTTCCAACGCAAGAATCCAGTCTGTGCCCGAAAGCCGGCTGCCCTTTGAAGAATGGCTTGTGAATGTTCTGCTGTGTGCCTCCCAGAGACCAGATCTACGTCGCACCGTCGGGCGTCCAGAAAGAGCGAATACAGGTCAGTCGGCTCTGACCGCACCGCCAATTATTCTTCTGCTCCGTACAAATGATCCCCGTTTTTTAAATACCATCTTTTCTGTGTTTGCGCTACGCAGCCAGAGGACATGTTCGTGTGTGACATGGCGGAGAGGGACATCAGCTGTCCACCCGCCTGGAAGAACCTAAGGAAGAGCCAGTGCACGCCGCTCTTCATGAACGCCTACACTATGCGAGGTGAGTGCAGTCATACGTGTGCGTGGCCTCCGTGCTAACCAGCCCCCTCCAATAGCAGCCGTTGTCCTTTTCAACAAAGTCATTGATGAATTCAGAAAATCGTTTAGGCTTAATGGAAAAAGGAAAGCATGATGCCTGCATGTCAGCGTTGGGATATGTTTTTCGCTGAATGTCGCTGAACAGAATGTAATAAATAGCCATGGAAAGAAAAATGGTGAAATAAATAACAGAAAATCATTTCCCCCTCGTATTCCTTGATAAAACTATACGCCACGCACATTTTATTCTATAAACATGTCATGTAGTATTTGAAAAAAAACAAAAAACTCATCAGCCAGGTTTATCTTAAGATACTTATATACTCTCAAATCTTTAATAAATAAGTAACTCAAAGAAGTTCCACTCATAAAATACAGTTAAATTCATGTGACGTAAAGGTTCTCTCAAAAAACTAAATATATTCAGTTTGCATCTGTCACAAATCGTAAAACCCGAACCCATTAATCCCCCGACGTGAAACGTAAAAAATCATTTCAAAGCAAAGTGTACGTCGATCCGTCACCGTCTGTGGGCGGTTGCTTGCTTTGTCTTGTCTACAAGTACGCTCAAAAATCCCAATCTGCCTTCCCTTTGCTAAAACACAGGGGCACAGGCAGTCATACACACCCACTCCAAGGCTGCTGTCATGGCAACGCTGCTGTATCCTGGCAAAGAGTTCACGATTACACACCAGGAGATGATCAAGGGGATTCGTAAAGACTGCTCGGGCACCAACTACCGGTATGTAATCAGGGTCCAAGGATTCGAGGAGTCCAGAGAGGAAGTTTAGAAATGATCTCTGCACTCGCAGTGGAAATCAGCAGCAGCGGGTGTCTCAGCAAAGCTTTAAAACACCTTAGGAAAATACTACAATTAACTCTGTTATCTTCTGCTCCACGAGGCTTTAACACGTCATAACGCCAGCCGCTTCATGGCTACATGCCCCCCCCCGTGGTTCCCAAACTGTGGGGGGAATTGATATTAGATCCTGAAGAACGGGTTGTGTGTGTGTGTGTGTGAGTGAATAGGTGAACGTTGCCGCGCAGCGTAAAGCGCTTACAGTCGTCAGAAGTCCTTTCACCTTTCAATGGGCTTCATCAGGGAAGAGCATAACCGTTGTGCACCGAATCAACCACATGAGGAGTGCGGTTGTCCGCTCCTCCTGCGGCTTGGGGACGGCAGGAGTTACGAAATGGACGCCTCCTTTCTCGGCCGTGACCCCTTTTGTGGGGAAATGTGCGCGATGCAAATCACAGGCTGATACATGTGGTGTTTTCTGCACATCACAGCCCTTGTTTTTTTTTTCATACTTGATAAAAATCCATTGAGGAGCGACGTTTGTTTGCTTTAAACAACGTGAACAGGGGGAAGAAGGTCATAGCTTTCTCTCTGCTGTGAGCTATGAAGGAAGCTGACAGCGGGAGCCAATTTTTAATAGTCCATTTAAATAATTGTTCGGATTGTAAAAAGATGGAAAAAAAAAAAAAAAGAACTGCAGCGACGACTTCATCTTGTTTGATTTGTTTTAATCGACCTGAAGCTCCACTAACGACGCGCAGCAGAGAGGAGCAGCAGGTCACTCAGGAAACTGTCGCCTGATTAAGTCGCCGCGAGCGCCCTTCTGACCGGCGCCGCGCGTCTCCCACAGATACGACGAGAGCCTCGTCGTGCCGATTATCGAAAACACGCCGGAGGAGAGGGACCTGACGTTCCGGATGATCCGAGCTATGGAGGAATACCCCGAGTCGTGCGCCGTCCTCGTGCGCCGCCACGGCGTCTACGTCTGGGGGGAGTCGTGGGAAAAAGCCAAGACCATGTGAGCGTTCGCCTCCCGCCGCCCGCTATCGGTGAATCTGTGACGAGCCGTAAATGAGTGGATTTTGTTTTTTTTGTGTTCTTGCGTAGGTGCGAATGCTTCGACTACCTGTTCGACATCGCCGTGCAGATGAAGCAGTGCGGGCTGGACCCCTCGGCCCGGCCCACAGAAGAACGGGGAATAGTTTGACATTCACCGCGGCTTTTTTTCTCCAAGACGGACGTGTTGCGGAAAGGTCAGCGGCGTCGGATGCAGGAGAGCGAGTTGTAATCCTTTGTCTCTCTCTCTCTCTCTCTCCCGGGGCGCCGCTTCACATTTGATGAGATTTGACTGAGGGGAGAAGGGGGGCGGTTTCGGGGTCTGCGGGGATCGAACGCCTGTGAGCTGCGAGCACCTGGAGGGGACGGGACGCGAGAAAAAAACACGTCGGGACAACTCTGTAAGGAGACGGCCGTCTGGTTCGAATGCTTCCCGTTGGATGACTCGTGCAGCTCGATTGATCCGAACGGGGATAAACGCCTTCAAATAAATAAAAAAAATCAATCAAATGCCAATCAAAGTTGTTGTTGTTTTGTTTATAATTTCATGGCGAGGTCTTGTTGTTCCCTCGTTTTCCTTTAAAAAAAATAAATGTGTATTTATCTTTCTTCACCGAAACTGAACTAAAGCTTGACGCATCATCAACGTCAGACCATCCACCAGAAACCAAATGTCAAGAATGCATATTAATTATTCCCAATAAGCCGTCATGCATTTGAAATTGTACATATTACCTGTCGGCTACAATCGTTATAAATCGACGTAACGTGAGTGGAATGTGAAGCCAAAGCTCCGATGTGCAGTCGGCCCCTTTGAGAAGAGCAGAGGATCAACACGCTCACCGGGATCACTTTGTACCTCCACAGCAATGAAGCCACGCGTTCTATTCAAGACGTCCCACCAATCAAACCAGCGTATCACATGACCTGTCACCAGGGTGGGACGAGGCATTTTTAAGGGGTTCGGAAAGCCCTCGAAGGAGGCCTCACTCCTTGGTTCTCGTCCCGGCCGGAAACGATGAATCAAAAGAGTCAACGTGCTCAAATTTAAAATCAAAAAGTACTTAATAACTAAACGTAAAAGCATCAATCAATACAAAATATGAAAAACCCTGCAGACCAAACTAGAGGTACCAACAGTAGCCATTAAATCCATCCATCCGTTACCCAAGATACATAAATAACTGCTTGTATCGTCTTCTATAGGAGTCTATTGGATTTTATTTCTTTTTGCACTGGTTTCAGCATCACTTCTTCTACACGTAACGACTCTAATCATTGCTCACATGTGTTTAGATTTTTATTCTCTTGTGATCAAACGACGGGCAGAAGAACATGAGCTTCCAGCTCATCTGATCGCAATTGATTCCGCGTGTCAGCTGTCATCCTCCTGCGTATACTTATCTGTTGCCGTATGTGCCGGGGGGGGCGGGGGGGGCGGTGCACATTAATCAACGCCTTGGTCTGAGGTTCCACTTCTGCCTCACTTCCACCCCCCACCCCCCCCTCTCCTCCCCTCGACCACGCTTACTTCCTGTAGGCCCTCCGTGACCTACGAGGAGCCGTTTGCACTTCACCCCCCCCTCCCCACAAAGAGCTCGTTTCAGTCCTCGTATGCTCGTGAATGCGGCCGGGGCAAAACAAGAAACCCCATCAAGGTTTCTGATCCCTTTGTCCTTCATCACTGCAGCCATTAGCCGTCTTCTTCTCGTTGTTATCGGTCGCCGTGCAGCGCATCTCATTATGAGCGCTGCAAAGAACCGTTATTTACTCCTCCTCAGTCAATTGGGCGACGTGCGGATGTTCAGCGGCTGTAACGGCGCCTCTCAACCCATAAATTATGTTCAAGTTGTATTAACGTGTTTGGCAGCCACGTCTCGGGAGAAAGGTCTCGTCGCTGCGCCGTTTTTTTTTTTTTTTAGGGTATTGATTTAAGTGTTAATGTGTTGTATGATTTTTAGCTTCGGTAAAAGCCTCGTGACGGGCAAAACGGTGATATAAGCTCATGTTATTGATGCTCGGACACCAGAGCGGCACAAGGAAGCATTTAAGCTCACTAATGTATCTCAGGGTCAACATTTAAAAGCTCATTATTGCATTTTCACCATCTTATTCTGTTCCTTTCTGACTTTTGAGTTTTACGGATGATGAAGTGAAGCGTTTGAAGGCTGAACATCGCAGATGTTTTATGATCCTATTGAGACATCTGGATACATCCAGTTGTTACATTGGTCCTTGAATGTGGTTTTCACTCAGTCAATGAGCACATCGTTTTTAATACGATAAACACTAAAGAAACAAAACAAATGTATATTTATTTATTTCCTGACAAGAAAACGATGCATTTCAAAGCCTAAGAAGAATAAACACTATGGGAGCCCTTCAACGTGGAAACCACCTTTTCCCTCTGCTGATTGACAGCTCATTGACAACAAAGCAATACAGATGATTTTTTTTCTCTGAGTGGCAACAACCTTACGTTTGTGTAATTGACCAACAACCCGCGTCAATCGTTTCTACCCCGTCACAAAAATACCCCCACTTATGATTTCAGTCACACATCATTTTTTCCAAAAAACAAAACAACAACACGTTTGCATTTCGAGTAGAAGAGAGAAGAGTTGGGTGGTGCTCCCTCTCCAGCTCACCATGAGTAACCCCCCCCCCCCCCCCCCCCCATGTTCCGCCTGTAAAAGAGACATCGCGTGCTGATTTTCAGCTTCATACTAGAACATTTTTACAAAAAAAAGCACTTTATTTTTGTCCCCACCTGTGTTTATTCTCTGCCTGAAGCGCTCTAGTGCATGTCGCTTTGAGCCCCCCCCTCCCAGCCCTACTCCCCCCTCTCAGAAAAAGCCCAGTGTGCTCTGATTGGTTTGTGAAAGTAGTTCACAATCTGTGAGCGAGTGTGTGACACACGGGGAGCTAAATCAAAATGGGTTTTTGGAATCACAGGATGGTTTCAAACGTTTTATGATCTATGCAACCGTCAGCTGACTCGATTGTCATTTTCATGGGTTGATCGGAAGTCCCGACGCTCAAACGCTGAAAAGGCAATCTCTTTTTCCACACAGGTCGAGGTTGAAGAATCATCGGTCGTCCCTCAGCAATCACCTCGCGCACTTCTAAAATACTGATTGCGATAATGAGACGACCCCTCGCGTCCGTGAGCCACCAGGTCAGTCGAGCCAACAACGTGGACCTGAGGCGGCAGGTGGATGTCCAGAAGCCTCCTCGTGCCGTAGCTTCTGCGCGTTTGACCCGCACGAACAAAAGGCCTCGGCCCGCGCTGCTGCGGTAAGAACAAAAAAAAAACAGCCGTCTCCTTTTGGATTTTGTCCTTGACGTCTGAATCAGCCTCTTCCGCCAACTTATCAGAGCGGCAGCAGCTCTCTGCTTTGGGCCCTCTTCTTCCCTTAATCCTTTTTACACGGGCCTCACTTTGTTTGCTCGCCGGCTCTGACTTTGCTGATAGAGATGTGAAGAACATCAATGCCCTTTGCTGGAAAACCTCTGTTTGCACCACAAAGTGAAACGATTTCAGGCCGAACTGTAAAGTCTCGTGTGTCATTATTTTTCAAACTGCATATTTTTCAAACTGCATATTACTTCTTGTAGAGATTGCATTTACCTCTTGAAGGTGTGTGCTCAAGAGTCCAAGCATTTTATTGTACAATTCCCTTTCAGAAAAAAAGGGAAAGTCCTCCGTCGTTTGTGGGGGAAGTCGATCATTCATTTCACGGATTCAGAATGAATACAAGTATCAGACGTGGTTGTAGGATAAAACATAATGCTTTTGTTGGATAAACTATGTGACTGCAGATTACTCTGTTTGTTTACATTATTCATTTAGCTAATTATTGTTTGCCATGAATTAAGAAGGCGTTGAATGTGTTTATCCAGTGCGACTGGTTGTGAGCCGTCTTATCCGTAACTTCGTCTCCATATCGTGTGCTTGAAGAGCTCCATTAAAACCAGTGTGATGATCAATGACCAGCAGTCACCTGATGAATACAGCCATCAGTCGACTGCATTAATAGAGTATTATTTTATACTCATTTGATATACTTGTTATTCTTTGAGGAGATGTCCGACTTCAAACGCATGAGGTTCATTATTGGACATGAAAGATCACCAATAAAACCTCAGAGTTAATATGACCTTATACATGCCTTATACATTAATTACGCCAAATATATCCTTTATTACTGAGTAATATTGCTTACAAGTAGTAAGAGAACGGATGTTTGGCATCATTTATGAATCTCCTTCAACCAGGACCCAGACAACACAAAGTCATCACGCTGATGGAAATACATTTTTATTCTGACACCCAAGTCGACAGAGTAACTCCACTAACTGATAATGCTGATGCAACATTGTTCCCCAGAGGCACACTGGGGAGGAAGGTATCAATCTCCAGTTGGCTGTAGGTGAAACACCGGGTTAGTTTAGCTGTTAAATACCGGACGGGCCGATACTGTGAGCCGGTCACTCTGTCAGCGTTTGTGTTGAATTGTCCTGGAAGCCACGGTGATGAATACGTCTGACATGACATCTATCAAGTGGAATTATAATGGTGGAATCATCTTATGCATTCTCTCACATCCTTCATTTTACATGCAGTGCCGTCAGGACTGCAGCGCAAAATGTGCTGATACGTTTGAATCGAAGTTGTGACAATATTACTCAATCTTAAGTTATTTATGTTGTTCCCTTTTAATTAAGAGTAACATGTTGTTAACCGTAATTCTCAAAAAGTATTAAATAATAACAATAACAATCGTTGTATTAAAGAAAAAAACGTTTACCGTAAATGCCATAGAATAGTATCCTGTAAGACATGGCACTTTACTTAAGTGTGTCCTAAAAATGTCATAAAAGTCACACTATGTAATCTTGAGAAGTAGGAATTATAAGATGCCGTTTCACATACTTTGTGATGCAGAACGAAACAGTAATTGCTTGTTTGTTGTTTGTTTGTTTCTCTGCTTTCATGGAATCGTGAAAAGTCATTAAATTCATAGAAAGGGATTGAACCAAGGTCATAGTAGAGCAGTAAATCATACATTTATTGTATGTGAAGGTCTTACAAATGGCATTAAATTCATTTGAAAAAGTCATAGAGTAGAAAGTCATATTTACGTAATCATTCATGTTGAGTATTAAAATATAAACATGCACGCTTACGCTAGCATGAAATTACACTTGAACTATAAATGCATAGTAATAATGGGTGAAGGCCGCTTAAAGGCCGGATTGCACGAACAACATGTATCTCAAGTCACAACACCAGCACGCAAACATGTTCTAAAAAGATGGAGCACTATCTGGATCAAATGCAGTCCAACAGGAACCACTTGTTCCCCATTTCATAAAGAACGTGTCCATACATAGAACTACGGCAATCGCTTATATGCAAATCATTTTACACACATCTTGTAAACATCCTGATATGAAGAACTCATGAACACCAGATGCGCGATGAACGTGAGCCAAGAGGGCGGGACCGCCTT